CTGGGTCCTGACCCTTTCTGCTTAAAAGTAGGTTACAAGTGTGTTAGAATTTCTATTAAGACGGGGACAGGGTGGGAAAGGGCCTGGGGAAGTGGCAGAGTTTTTAGTTATGAGGAATCTAGGGTGTGATATCTATGTGATCTGTGGCAGAGATATTACAGAGATGGCCAGGAAGATTGGGAAGGCCCGGGACAGCCAGCCAGGCCCAGTGAGGTCAGTGGGGAGGCATGCAAAGCCCACAGTGAGCCACACCTCACCTCGGGCTGAGTGAGCCCAGGGGAGGGGAGGGAACAGGCAGGGGGAGGGAACAGGCAGAGGGAGGAAGAAAAAACTGGCCTTGGTGTTTTTTGCTTTTAAGATTGAATACTTGGTGTCTGGACAGAATGTTGGGAGTTCAGGAGTTCAAGCCTCCAGGGATCTGTGTAGGGTACACAGTGTTAGGCTGCTCTCCAAGGCAAGGGAACCACAGGATCCTTGGCCCATGGTAAATATTCCTGGGTTTGGTGTGAATGGCATCCACCTGGATTGGCTTGTAAACACTTGTGAAAACCGCCCTTTGCCTTAGACACACTGGGGTGGCCCTTGCTATTGTGTTGGGGCACAGACCCTGGGAAAGGTTGAAGGTGAGTGGAGCTGGAGAGGAGAGAAAACATACCCTTTGGGGGAAGTGATCTGGGGAGGAAGGGGGTGGGCGAGTCCTTTCCTGGTGCTGCACAGGGTGAACTTGCTCCCACCTGCTCTCCTCACTTCAGTTCACCCTTTGCCAAACTTCGGGTGGGGCCCTGTACTTTGGCACAACCCACATTTTCCTTTCCAAGCCTTTTTTTTTTTTTTTTTTGAGGCAGGCTTTCTCTATGTAACCCAGACTGGCCTGTAACTTTCTATGTAGTCCAGGCTGGCCTGGAACTCCATTCTCCTGCCTTTGCTTCCTGAGGGTTGGGACTACAGGTGTGTACCACCATGCCCATGCTTTCCAAGCCTTCTGCCCAGGCCTATCCCATGGCCTAGCACCGCCTGGCTTCTGCAGCACAAGGGATGCCATCATTTCTGTTGGAAATGGTCTTCCTGGTTCCCTGCACCAATGGGCTAGGTCCCAGTCAGATGCCTCTGCTCAACCATGAGGGGCAACTTGATAATGGAGAAAGTGCAACATTGTGGGCACACAGTCTTTAATACTTGAATCAATGTCACTTAAATAGGTGGGAAATTGGCTGGGTGCTAGTGGCTCACGCCTGTAATCCTAGCTACTCAGGAGGCAAAGATCAGGAGGATCGAGGTTCAAAGCCATCCCACACAAATAGTCCATGAGACCCTGTCTCTAAAAAACTCATCAAGAGAAAAAGGGCTGGTGGTATGGCTTAAGGTGTAGGCCCCGAGTTCAAATCCCAGTATCACAAAAAAAGGGCAGGAAATTGGACAAGCCTGATGTACAGAATATTTTTGAGAAAACTGGAGAAATTTGGATACTGACAGTTATTACATAAGATGATACAGAAAGGTAGAGAATGTTAACTGAAAAAAATTATATATAGCATGAGTACCGGTATAGTTTCATTTTGAAAAAAAAATGACATGTCACCACACTTCGAAAATGACCTGGAAGAACATATAGTATTAATAGTGATGGGAAATGTGTTCCTGTATTTTTTTTGTTTTCTCAAAGATATTTTAAGACTTTCAGTATTTTATTTTTTTTCTTACTTTTCCAACTTTTACAATTCACATATACTGCTTTAGTTGCATTAAAGATTATTTTTGTTGAGATGGGGTTTTGCCTTGTTGCTCAGGCTGGCCCAAATTTCTTGTTCCTTCTGTCTTCTGGCCTCGACCTCTGAAGTAGCTGGGACCACAGATGTGCAGCACTGTGTCCAAATTCAAAGGCTATTTCTAGCTATGAAACATTTAGTAAAAAATTGCTACCCTATAATAAATAACAATTTCTATCTTACAACAATCCAGGGGCTGCGTGCACCTGGCGTTAGGTAGAAGCTACTGAGGGGAGGAGCCACTGTCTTCTGGGATGGGAAGACCTGACTTCTTTTCTTCTTAACACCCCTTTGTAGCTTAGAACCCAAACTCCCATCTGAATTCAGCACAGGATCCAGAAAGTGCTGGTAATTGCACAGCAAAAGTTAACTCCGAGATGATCATTGATTAAAGACTTATTTTCCCCAGGCTGGTTTCTTTTACCAGCATAATTCACGTCTGACCTCTTGTATTGAAATTCAACTTCATGTTAGAATGGTAGATTGCAGAAAAGCAGAATTTGAAGGATAAAGTTATCAAGCTGTGTTGGTCTTGCCTGCTCCTCACCTGGAGCACTCTTGGGCTGTCTGTCCATGGAGGATGACGTTGGCTGCCGTGACTGGTAGGAGCAATAGGGAAGCTGACACAAATCTCTCTGGGCCTGTTTCTCCCCTCCCTCCCTTTCCTTTCTCTCTTTTCTCTCTCCTCTCTTTACTTTTTCTCTTTCTCCCTCTCTCCCTACCTCTTTTTTGGGACTGGGATTTGAACTCAGGCTTCACATGCAGAACAGGTGTTCCACCACTTGAGCCACATCTCTAGTCCATTTTGCTCTGGTTATTTTGGAGATTGGGGGGGGTCTCTCATGAACTTTTGCCTGGGCTGGCCTCGAACCACGATCCTCCCAATCTCAGCCTCCCAAATAGCTAGGATTATAGGTATGATCCACTGGCACCTGGCTATTTTCTCTTCTTTCCAAGGGGCAGGATGATTCCTGAGCCTCCCTTGCACATTTCTAACATCTCAGAAGAGGCATGCTATATGACTGATGATGGCTCAACTCTTCCTGAGTGTACCTATGTGAGGTGGGGTGAGCTGCTTTCCCACTTAATGGTATTTATGCTGTGGGTGAAGCCACTAATGGCACCCATTCCTCCCCCACCCCAACTCTACCCATGTTCCAGGCTACAAAGTCCTCCCAACCCCATTTCTGACCTGGTATTGCCTCTGTCCTTCGGCCGGCCCCCATTCCTCTCTGGGTCAGGCCTCCACCTCTGCAGGGAGGAGAGAGGACACCTGCATTTCTTTCAGCTGGACAAGCTCTTCTGGCAGCACTCCCTGATCCCTCAAAACAGTACAAAATCCATATTCTATGAGGATTTTGTGCAAAGATGAAGACTGATGGGAGGGCTCTGAAGGAGGAGGTGTAGGGCTGGGAGACATGTCCTGCCCAGCTTTCCCTCACCCACCATTTCTGATGACAGGGAAATTCAGAACTGAAACACAACCATTTCACTTCCCTTTGTATTTATATAATCCCTATTCTAGAAAGGAATAAGTCAGAAAGGACATTGTTTGAAAACAAGCAAACATTTATTGAGCAACACCTAAAAGGCTGAGGCCCTTCCTTACCCAGGATTTTCCTCTTCAACTCATCAGAGGCTGGCTCCAGGGCCTCTTGCTTGGGTAGGCACTCACCTTTGGGTCTGGGCCTCTCGTTTCATTAGCCCACTGTTTTGGTGAGTAGTGGGCAAGTAACAATTTATCTGTTCTCCCAGCTGGAAGTAGGGGCTGACTGGCCTGACCTTACTTGCCCTGTGGTCAATAATAACAGGCCTTGGCAGTGGGCTTAATTGTTGATTTGGATGGGTCTGTGGCACACTTGCTGATACTTGTTTTTGGGATGGTTTTTCTCTAAAATAAACTGTAGTATTTGGATGAAAAGGAAGGTAAGAATCAGGAACCCTCTGTTGGTTCCAACTGTTCTGAGCAGGCTGCTCTAATACAGAGTTAGGATAAATTACCTCCCCTTGGGCACAGAAAGCTGTGGATGTGTGGTAGTTTGCTGCCCTCTTGTGGCATAGAAGTGATTACACAGATTGTCATCCCCACGCAGACTGTATCATGCTCACTTGTTTGACAGTTATGGAGCAGGCCACTGGATGATGTGTAGGCAAAAGTGAGAACCGTTTCTAGGCTAGTGGCTTCTAGTTGAATCAAGGTCTGAAGGCAAAAACGCACACTTTGGCTTTGCACAAAATGGGCTGCTGGTCTGCACCCCAGTACTGCAGCTGCCCAAAGAGGTCAAGTGGCCGCAAGCTGACCCTCTAACAGTCTTTAACTGGGGTCATCTCCTATGTGAATAGCAGAACTGATGAGATAAGCTCAAAGTCAGATCTTTCACCTAGCCTTCCCACCCCTCTCCTTAGGTATTTACTAATTGTTATCTTCTCCAAAGGGCCTCCTCCCTTTTCAACCCTAACATGATTTTGCTTTGTCTTTTGTTGTGGGCTAAATTGTTGCCTCCTAAATTCACATGCTGAAGCTCTAACCCCCAGTATCTCAGAATGTGACAATCTTTTGGGACAGGTTCTTTAAAGAAGTGATTAAGTTAAAATGAGGGTGTTAGGGGGCCCTAGTTCAGCATGACTGGTGTTTTTGTAAGAAGAGGGCTGTGCATGCCTAGAGAAAAGGCCATGTTAGATACTCACCACAAGGATGCAGCCATCTAAGCTGGGCGTGGTGGTGCACACCTGTAACTCAGCACTCAGGATGCTGAGACAGGAAGATTGTGAATTTGAGGCCAGCCTGCTACACAGTGAGTTTGAGGGCAGCCTGGGCTACATACATAGTGAGACCCTGTCTCAAGAAAAAACAAAAAACAGACTGAGTGCAGTGGCTTATGCCTATGATCCTAATTACTTGGGAGGCTGAGATCAAGAGGATCATGGTTCAAGGCCAGCCTGGGCAAAAAGTTCATGAGACCTCCATCTCAACCAATAAAAGTTGGGTATGGTGGTGGGGGCCTGTCATCCCAGCTACGCAAGAAGCATAAATAGGAGGATCGTAGCCCAGGCCAGCCTGAGCATAAATGCAAGACCCTAGTGAAACAATAACTAAAGGGAAAAAGGGCTAGGGGCATGGCTCAAGCAGTAGAGCCTTTGTGCAAGTGCAAGGCCCTGAGTTCAAACCCTAGTCCTGCCAAAAAAAAAAAAAAAAAAGAGTCACATACAAGTCAAGGAGAAAGGCTTCAGGAAAAGCCAAAGCTGCTGATACTTTCCTCTTGGACTTCCAGCCTCCAGAATTGAGGAAATACATTTCTGTTGGTTAGTCTGTGGGATTTTGTTGTGGAAGCCCTAGTGAACTACTATACTTTCTAAAAAAAATACCCGTACAAGGGGTAGTTATTACATGTTGAGGTTTTCAAGGTTTATAAACACACAGTATCTCTTCTAGGCCTGGTTACAGTTTCTATATTTGTCCTGAGCAGTTTTTCTTTCCTTTCACTCAGTCTTCAGGCTCCTCCAGGTAGTGGGGATAGCAGGCTTCTAGCACTGTTCTGACTCCTGGTGTAATCTCTCAGAGCAGCTGATGGGGCCCAGGGAGGGTCAGGAGCTAAAACTGAGTGTGGGGTGATTGCTGGCAAACTGCAGAAGACTGAGTCATGAACCCTGTTGGTACTTCCAAATGGTGATTTTGGTTCTTCCATAACCCATTCAGAAAACGTTTTAATCACCCGAAAAACTTCTGACTATGAGGCAGGAGTACAGTCCCATCCCCACACCACCCTCTTCACAAAAGGTCCCTTATCTACTACACCTGTCTGAATTGAGGGACCAAAGAGAGACTGGTGTCCATTCTGGTCTTGTCAACAGTGACACCTAACCACACTGTAATTCTTTCAAAATACATTTTATTAGTGGCATGTGGAATTTAAAGTTAAGTAATTTCTTTTCAGAGAAAAGGTAATCCCTGACAGACTAAAAAACTAAGCAGGTATGTCACAGCAGAAATACCATTTCCAGTGGAGTGAGAGATGACAGGAAGACTCTTCACCAAGGAAATTGCTTTACCATTCTGACCACATGGAACAATACTTGATTCAGTGTCTGTGGGGCTGTCCCAAATCACTGGGCAGTCTGTGCCCTCCATGAATCATGGTGCCACCCCTATATCCATCAGCCACCCCCCGCAGTTGGAGAGGCTGAAGAAGTCACGAGCCTCATTAACCGTGTGAGGATCAGTGGATCTGTGGCAGGTAGGGACTGGCTTGCAGGAGAACACTAGGAGAGGGGGTTTGCTTATGAACCAGGAATACCTCAGCCTTTAAGAACTCCCACAGTGTCCATCGTGACCCCTCGTCTCCACGTTGGGGAGCTCTGGGTCCCCTGCAAGTCTCTGGAAACATGTCTTTATTACTTAAGTCAGAGAAGACTTGCACTTTCTTAGAAAAATCTGTTCTCCCTCTTATATGAAGAACATCTCCCTTAAATGTGTTTCATTCTTTGCTAGGTGTTCTTATGGCTCAAAATGAATTCTGCAACATTTTGAAGTTCACCTTGACTTTGCTCATTAGCTGTTCTGCTGCAGCTCCCTTTCACTTTCAAACACTTTCCCTGGGCACTTCCCTGTCCACCTTCCCAGCCCGGCTTCTGGAAGCTGTGGGTTTCCCAGTCCTCAGCGGCACATCCCATCCTGAGGCAGTTCTGTGGGGTCAAGATCATGTGGCTTATTTCTAACCGTATTCCATGGAAGACTCTGCTAGAGTTTGCCACCTTCACTGGTTTCATTTCCATGATTTCTCTTGACACCTTGGAGCCCCGCCCTCAACCAAACATTCAGATACTTATTGACTAAGGCAACAAAAGAAGGGACAGACTGGGTAAGTTTTCCATGTCTACATCTAATTGATTAAGCTACATATATACACCAGGCAGCTGAACTTCACCTCCAAGCTAGATTGTATTCACCTAGAATACAATCTTCAGGGGCTTAGCACAGGTCTGTGATTGTGGTTTCATCAAGGTCAATGCCAACATGCAGCTTGCCATCCTTCACAGCCGCCCAGGGCATGGAGGTAGAGGTCCACCTTGCTACCCAGTCGCCTGTTTTGTTGATCAAGATGAGGCCACCTAAACCTTTGAGTCTTGACTTCATATAACCCAGTGACAGGTCAGCAGCCTCTTCCACTGACTTCCCTGAAAATAAAGAAACGTTGCAAAACAATACCTATTACTGAAAGGAAACTGATGAGAACATCCTTTATGATACATAAATCAAAGTGTGTTAACAAAGATTCTGGTAAATGCTTTCCACATGAATGCTTAACAGGAGGAGCCTCACCTCCTTGCACCAGCTGAGCAGGGCTGCCTTCCCTCCCATGCCAGGCTCAACGTCTCTCTATGGAGACAACAGTATGCTAATGGCTCTTCTAGTCCAGATCCCACCAAAAGGTGAGCAGGAGTCAAAATAGTGTGAATGACCTGAAAGCAACATAAGCAGCCAACAAGAAAGGGTTCCACACACTTCTCTGTTTTTTACTTTTAGTGGCACTGGGGTTTTCAACTCAGGGCCTCACACTTGCTAGACAGGTGCTCTACCACTTGAGCCACTCCACCAGCTTTTTTGTGTTGAGTATTTTTGAGATAGGGTTTCACTAACTGTTTGCCCAGGGCTGGCTTCGAACCACGATTCTCTTGATCTCTGTCTCCTGAGTAGCTAGGATGACAGACCTGAGCCACTGGCGCCTGGCCCCCTCCGTCTATTGATGAAATAGCTTTTATGTACTTGCCTTCACAAGTTACACTGTTCCACATTGCACATACCTTGTTCTATGTGGAAGAGAGCGAGTCTGGCCAGATTCACCTTGAGGATGCTTTCCCCATGTCCTGTGGTGGAAACGGCTCCGATGTTATTGTCAGCGTAACCTCCAGATCCTGCTCAAAAAAGGCAACTGGTTCTAACTGAGCAGCAACAGCCAACAGAGTTCAAATACCAGTCACATAGCTCATGCTACATAACATTAAATCTCAGAGTGCTGAAGTGTGGACGAAAGCCAGATTTGCAGCCATGTCTCACTGATGCACAGGTGGACGAGGGAACACCACATAAACATGTTGGATTCATGAGGACAGAACCAGAGAGGAGGCAGGGGTGGCGGCATGGCCTTTCATGGAGCAGAGACATCAGGGCAGTGCCTCCTTTGCCCAAAGGGTATTCACCCCATCTTGCTTAGTGAAGTCACCCTTCTCCGGGTCTCCTCCCTACACACCACACATTAGGATTGACAAACATCCTGAGTACATCATTTGGATGACCAGGAAGGCCGCCACATTCAAACACTTTTGGGAACACTGATATTCCCTAAATCTAACATCCACACATACTGTCTAGTAATTTGGAGGGCAGTTCTATTTGTTGCGGGAAGCTTAATTGGACCCAGAGAACTATTCGGGGCTGTCCATTTAAGTGGGGTCTGGAGCTAAAGCTACTTTGATATGATTTCTCCCTTTATTTAGTCTTGGACTAAGCAACTCTCGGCCTTCTCTCCATCATTTCTGCATCGTAGCCCGAGAGTCCTGCAGCTTTAGCAAGGTTTGCCTTTCCCCTCCCCTGGTTGATATGAAAGCATTATATTCACATTTGCCTTATTTATTGACGCTGGAAAGGGGGCTGCTCAGGAGTGGAAATGTTGTCCTAAATGTCACAATTCCTCAGCGTTTTCAATGGCAGTAACCCCATGGTTCTGGTTGTGGAGGGAGCTAAAAATGGGAGGGAATGTTAACTCTTGTAATGGGAGAAGACATTTTTCCTTACCTTTTCGTTTTTGTTAAGTTTCTGCTATAGGATGAATTGGACAGACCCTTTTACAGTGTCAATGAGGCCCTAATATTTGGAAGCAGCCAAGTCTTCTCTTTCTTCTTAGTTCCTTGGATCAGGATCACAAAAGGCCAGGGTGGCTAAGAATGGTCTTGGTATGAGCAGCAGGACTGTAAGCCCCCCTTCCCCACCATTTCTCAAACGACATCTGCACTGCCTGAGGTGAATGTTGCTATGTGCCTATCATCATCCCTCCCGAATATCTACACAGGGTCCTCTCGGCCAGCTGAGAATGCTTGTCGGAGAGGCCAGACTGAACACATTTGGTGCTCAGAACCAAGTCAAGGACTTATGGAAATTTAGGTCAAACCTTTTCCCTCTCAATATTTTACCATCACGACTTAATGAGTCTGAAATTAGTTTCTGGGATCTGACCTGGGGTGGCCCTGGAGCTTGGTCCAACCCCAGCTGGATGCATGCTGCACTATTCACCAGGCATATTTCGGCAGTATTTTTGCTAAGGAGAAAAAAAGGTGCACTATTTCCTATCTTTGAGGTGAGTGAAGTTATCAGATCTCTACTTTTTAAAGAAGCTGCAAAGTGTGTCTCCTCAGATCATGACAGAAAAAAGGGTACAAAGAATTGTCAAGCTGGCAGACTGGGTCAAGTGGTAAAAGTGCCTGCTTAGCAAACATGAGGCCTTGAGTTCAAACCCCAGTGCCACCAAGAAAAAAAAAGGAACTGTTAACAGTGCAGATTACTACCAAGGACTCTCATCAGATTAAAAAGGGATGGTAGGGTTAGATTTCCACTAAAAGCATAAACTGCTCTTTTGAGCACTTGGAAAAATTCAGCTATTCCTTACAGGAGTTAGTGGGAACTTCCACAGAGAACTCTGAAAGTCTGCACAGAGTGAAACACATACGACCATCCCTGCCCTGCCTTTCACCTACTCCTGGAAATGAGGTGTTAATGTTAAGAATACTTCTGTAGAAGTGTGTCACTTTTGCACCACTCACATCTAATACCTCTAAGATTAAATCCTCAGTTTTCTTACGCTATTAATGTGAGCTCATGCCTAGAAGAGGTATTGCATAGTTAGCCTTCTGCAGGTAAGTCTGCAGATCCCAAAACTGGCGCTAAAGAGAAGGCAGTCATATGGCAGTCTGGGGACAACTCTAAAATTCCCCATCTCCACTTCCTTCCCCCATGTCATCCCAAAAATCAGAATCTAGGAAAAACAGAGTGCCTACTAGATGCAAACACACTCTTAAAGCAGGGACCCAACAACCCCTTCTAACCCAATTGCCACTCCCAAAAATTCTGAAGCTGCCACCAAGAGGAGGAACAAAATGAAGAAAAGGACAGAAGGGAGGAAAAGGAGGAGGGGCAGAGTAAGACCGTCCCTCAGTCTTACCTATGCACGGAGAGTCCCCAACTCTGCCAACCATCTTATTAACAATACCTCCTGTAGAGGTCGCATAGGCCAAGTTTCCTCTGCAGTCCAAGGCAACAGCACCTACGGTTCCCAAATTTCTACCAAAAATAAACAAAAAAAGTGACAGGCTGAATATGAAACCTCCCCCCTCGAAGTAACAATGTAGCTTAAAACTATTTTAAAATTCCCACATTATATGTTAACAGTGCTTGTGGGGAACATTTTGATTCCAACATTCTATCTTAGAGAAAAGCTTTGCTTCCCAGAATACATGTCAGTGCAGGTAGAATTCTAGACGTTCCTGTAAATTTTCACATTATGAGTATATTCAAATAGTTCCACCATTTTCTAGCTGGGTTACTGCCCCCAGGAACAAAACGGGGATAAATATAAGAGCAAATCTCAAACTTTTGTGAGCATAGCAATCTCTTGGATCCTTAGCCTTCTAGAGATTCTGAAGCTGTCACCAAGAAGAGGAAGAAAAGGAATATGCAATTTGGTGGATATAGGGTGGGCCCAAGGTCCTGTGGTTGTGGCAACATTCCAGATGTCACTGAGCTGTGTTCCTGGACACACACTCTTGGGTACCTGCTTCATGGGGTTCTTGTGAAAATCAACAACACCAGCAAGTTAATTTTCCCCCTGATGTTTTGTTATGATTTTTTTTTTTTTTTGGTGCTGGCGTTGGAACTCAGGGTCTTGTACATGTTAGGCAAGTGCTTTACTACTGAGCTACACGTCCAGCCTTTTGGTTTTTGAGACAGGGATTCAAATCCCTGTGCTCACACTGTGCACTGATACAGATGTACCTCCCACTCAGACTCCATAGAGCTACATCGGAGGCACTGTCTGAGATGTTGGGTCACAGCAGCACACAAAGTAGACAAAATCCCTTCATAATGGAGCTTGCATTGGGGTGGAGGGTGGCAGTCACAGAGTCATGAAAATTTCAGGTGGCAATAAAAACTAAAAGAAAAAAAAGAAAGAAAAACTAAGAGCAATATACAGGTAAGGGAGTGATGGTGCTGGAGGTGCTGTTTGGGACAAGGCCTCTCTGAAAAAGAGAGGGCAAGCCATGCTGATTGCTGGGGAAGAACGTTCCTGAAGCAGAAACATACTTGTCTTGCTCATGAACTCCAAAAAGGCCAACGTGATGGAAAGAATAAAGCGAGGAAGAGTGTGGTGGGAGGAAGGACAGGAGGGCAGCCAAAGGCTAGCTCACAAAGGCTCTGACAAGTGGGGTGACCATATATCCTTGTTACCCAGGCAGGCCAAATTGTGCTTTTTGTCCCAGAGTTCAGTTATTAGTGTTTCCTTCACTCTCAAAATTAAGTTCCAGTTTGAACATGAGATCATTTAATCATCCAACTTTTAGGCCATGGCAAAGGCTTTTATTCTAAGTGAGAAAGGAGGACGTTAGGAGTCTGAGCTGAGAAGCATCACAATCTGAGTTGTTTAAAAAAAAAAAAACATTCTTGGGCTGGAGGTATAGCTCAAGCAGTAGGGCAACTACCTAGCAAAGCATGAAGCCCTGAGTTCAAACTCCAGTACCACCAAACAAAAGTAAAAAAAAAAAATTCATATCACTACCCTACCCATCAGCACAGTTAAAAATGCAAAAGACATGATAGCAGGCTTTGACAAAAATGCGCAGGAAACAAGATTCTCTTCCGAAACCAAGGGAAGTGTACACTGGTACAACTGCTTTGGAAAGCCACTTGGCACGATCTGCTAAACGTGTGTATATTTATTACACGCCCGTTCACCTGTCCATCAGAAATGTGGACAGAGACAAAAAAGTGTACCGAGACATTCATGGAAACATTTCAGCAAGGTGAACACACAAATGTCCACCAAAGTTGGAGTATATAAATTGCTGAATGATGATGGAATGGAATACTACAGTGCAATAAAGCATTTTATTGTTAACATTGTTAACACATGGTGAATCTCAGAAATATAATGATGAAACAAGGCATAAAGTACATGCTACATGCATTTAAATAAAGTTACAAACTTTATTTAGGTTCGTAACCCTCACCTATGATGTCAGAAGTCGGGCAAGTGGCTACCTTGGTGGAGAATGGGGAAAGGAAAGGGCAGGAGGGAAGGTTCTGGCACTGTCTAGTTTCTTTTTTTCTTCTGTTTATTTTACTTTATTTTTTATTAGGATATAGTCAATGTACAGGGGGGATTCATTGTGACAATTCCAAATAGGCTTATATTGTACATTGGTTAGATCATCCCCAACCGTCTCTCCCCCTTGATCCCCTCACCGCCCCACTTAAAACAATTGTAAGAGGTTTTTATGTTCTATTTCATGTAAGTATATGAAGTTCATCCACCATCACCCTCACCTTAATCTCTTTAATTCACCCTCTCCCATCCCACAAGTACCCCCCACTGTACCTATTTTACAGTCCTGTCTTTAATATTAATATTCAAGTTGATGTTGCAAGGGGTTTCTCAAGGTGCCCCCACTGTGAGTATGTTTTACTTTGGTCTGTTCAACACTTCCATTACTCTTCCTTACCCTTTCACCTCTCACCCCTCATTTTTTAACAGCTTTCAAAACACATCTATGTGTTTTACAATATTGTTGATGCTCTATCACTCTCTTTTCCTTTCTCTCCTTCCTGAGTTCCATAGAGCAGTTCTACTGTTACAAACATGTTCTACATCTGAGTTTGTATGTGATCAGGTTTGTTTTTGTGTACGTGTTTATCTTTTGGATCTATCTTCTACACATGAAAGAAAACATGTGGCCTTTGTGTTTCTTTCTTTTTTTTTTTCTGCTAGTCAATTTTCTTTCATTCTTTTTGGCCTTTGTGTTTCTGAGCCTGGCTTACTTCACTTAACATTATGTCCTCCAACTGCATCCATTTACCTTCAAACCAAATGTTGCCTTTATTCCTGATGGCTGAGTAAAACTCCATTGTGTATATATGCCACATTTTATTGATCCATTCATCAGTTGTAGGGCATCTGAGTTGTTCCCATAGGTTGGCTATTGTGAACAGTGCTACAATGAACATCAGTGTACAGGTGTCTCTATTGTATTCTGACTTACATTCTTTTGGGTAGATACCCAGGATTGGTATCACTGGCTCATATGGCCGTTCTATCTTTAGCTTTTTGAGGAATCTCCATACTGCTTTCCATAATGGTTGCACTAATTTGCATTCCCACCAACAGTGTACAAGGGTTCCTGTTTCGATGCATCCTCACCAACATTTGTTGTTATTACCCTTGATTATGGCCATTATAACTGGGGGAGATGAAATCTAAGTGTTGTTTTGATTTACATCTCTTTTATAGCCAAGGAAGTTGAACACTTCTTCATGTATTTACTGGCCATTTGTACTTCTTCCTTTGAGACTTCCCTGTTTAATTCATGTGCCCATTTCTTCATTGGGGTGTTGATTCCTCGGGGGCTGAGTTTTTTGTGTTCCCTATAGATTCTGAATATTAGTCCTTATTGGATGAATAGCTGTCCAGTTTCTTGATCTGGGAGTTGTTATGTTATGTAGGCATATTCACTCTGAAATTCTGTCAAGGTGCACATACATGATTTGTGTGATTTTACACGTATGTTATATTTCTAGAAAAATTTTACCTGAAAAGAATTATTCCGGCTATGCTGTAAAGTTGACAAGGGAGACAAGAGTAGAAATGTGGACCAGTTAGGCTTGAGGGGACATTGGTTTGCATTAGGATGGCTTTGGTGGAAGGGGTGAAAAGTAGGTTGGAGTTGGGACACTTTGAAGGTCCACCTGATAGAATTTGTAGGTGTACTGGATATTAGAGAAATGTCAAAAGATTATTAAGGATTTTTATTTTAGCAAAAGAAAAAGTAACAATATATACATGTCTCCCACAGTCTCTATATCCATTCATCTGTTGATGGATGCCATGGTTGTTCCCCCCTCCCTTTTTTTTTTTTGAGTACCGGGGTTTGAACTTGGGGTCTTACATTTCCTAGGCAGGCGCTCTACCACTTGAGCCACTTCTCCAGCCCCTTATTGTGTTGGGTATTTTCGAGATAGGATCTCACATTGTTGAACCTTGATCCTCCTGATCTCTGCCTCCTGAGAAACCGGCACGTGGCTTGGTTGTTTCCTTATCCATGACCAATACTGCAGTGACCATGGGAGAGCAGACTTTGGACTCAGGTGGCCTTTGCTTCCCAGAGAGGCCTTTCCCTCTTGGGGGCTGAATGGTGTTAATCATGGGAGTGGATGATGTGCGTTAAGCATCAGGATATTCCAATGCTGGGTGACAAAGGAGCCCCATGTATTTGGTAATAAATCATTTTGCCCTCCAAAAGTGCTTATATCTGAGAGTGGCAGTGAGTGTGGAGATGTGTAGTCATGGAGTTTTTTCTCGTGGTGCTGGGGATGGAACCCTGGTCTTGTATATGTGAAGCACGTGTTCTACCACTGAGCTACACCCCAGGCCAAACACAGCTTTCAGAAAGCAATGTGGAGCCATCTTTTAAAATGGACATGAGTCACTGATCAAGCAACCTCACTCCTATGACTGTAGCCCACATAAGTAACAGTGCATATGAGAAGTATCAGTGGCTACCACAGCATTGCCCTCTTGTAACCTAAGGACACATCAGAATTACCTGGGAAACTTTCATACAATTCCTGTCGCCTCCCCACCTCACATCTATTAAATATGGTTCTTTTGTGAAGGGGCCTGGGCACATGTATTCTGAGAAAGCCCCCAAGGTGATTCTAAGATGGACCCCTGGTTAAATATTGTAAGGACCAGGCAGAGTTACTAGACTGAATTCCATTATATGAACTCCAGGACCATATTTAAATTTTATTTTCAAGTTTTGTTTTACGTAAGGGAAGGGTCTTTCTTTGGGTTTTAAAATCTGAAACATGGAAAACCATAATTTAGAACACATGATTACTTTGAATTTTCAAGAGTTGTACTGATTTCAATATACTAAGAAAAAGTATTTAAGTTCAAAAGGTCTGCACTAGATCACAGAGAAACTCATCTGTGCAGGCTCACAAACAAATCAAGAGGCATCCAGATAAGTGATACCTTAATCCAGACAATCTTCTATTAAGTCAGGTCAACTCTAGTAGCCTGACTTGAGTTACTATTCTACTGTTCATGGGAGTAATAAATGAGGCTAAATTTAAGAATAAAAAGAGTTTTTCCATTATTTAGTTTGGGTTACTTAAGAAATGTCAGTGATGCCAAACTTTCATACTTCAATAACTCCCAGACCTGTGGGCGGGACACAGGTGACTTACTTTGGACAATCCAAATTCTGGCCGCCTTTCTCATACTTCTCTTTTTCCAGGTGTTTTTTAGTTCTCTCTGTTACGAGCTGTTCTACAGGAATCTTTGGAATCCCCATGTCTGCTGCAAATTTAGCAGCGCCTTGGTCAGTCAGAAAGCAATGAGATGTCTGTACCAAAAAAAAAAAGAAATGATTACTTCTCATTGGGTACAAAGACTCAGAAATGCAAATTACACTGGCTTCTTTTTCTTTTTTCTTTTTTGAGCTGGGAATCGAACCCAGGGCTTTTATGTATGCTAGGTAAGTGCTCCACCAGTGAGCTACATACACCTCCAGCCTGGCTTGCATTTCTTAATGCTGAAAAGATCTTGGGTCTCTGAATTTTTGTGTTTTCAAAAACTTCAAAATTGATGGAATATTACTAGGGATGTGACTTACATATGATCTTGAATTTGGAAAACTAGACCAGTTTTTATTTAATACATGCTATTAAAGAGTTGGTTTGAGGGGTTGGGGGTGTGGCTCAAGTGGTAGGTAGAGCACCTGCTTAGCAAGCGTGAGGCCCTGAGTTCAAGCCCCAGAACCGCCCCCCACCACACACACAAACAGTTGGTTTGATTAGTTTGTTGCGCTGTCTTGAAGGTATTTAAAGAAGGCTGAAGAAAATATAGGAAGATGACAAAGTCACCACTTGTCAAGTGACTGTTAGTCAGGTTACATCATCTAATAGAGTCAGAGTCATGTCTGACTTGAGAAACTCAAGCAACACTGCTTCTGACTGATCTGTATTTTTAGAACAGTGATCTCAAGTATTTCTCACAGCCAGGCTCCTTTCACCACTCAAGTACAGCAGGAACAACTACTCCCCAGGAGAGTAAAACTTTAGTCACACATACCTTTTCCATAACAAGCCGGGCAAGCTTGGTGGGATTCGCGATACAGCGCACGGCAGACACTGCTCCTGCAGACAGGTCCCTCCCGTCCATGATACTAGCATCCATCTCAATGTCACCATCTGCATTCAAGACAGATCCACAACCTAAAACCAAGAATTAAAAATTTAGAGAAGAATCCAGATTTTTCTCTAATCTACCCCTTTCAGTCCATCTTCTGTTCTACCACCAGAGGAAAAATGTAAAAACACACAAATCTCACCTGGCACTTAAAGTGGTCTGGATGTGGTTTGTCCCCTAAGGTTCAGGAATTGGAAGTCTGGTGTCCAGTGTGGCAGTGTTGAGGAGGTGGACCTTTGAGAGGTGGGGGGGGTCTAATGGCTGGGGCTGAGGGGATGGGGACTCCACCCTCACGAATGGATCAGTGTTGATCTTGTGGAGTGGGCTGGGTCCTGTAGGAGTGGATTACTTGTAATGTCTTTAATGTTCATGTATAATAAATGACTGCATTTACTTTATAATTAGGTTCCTACTCAATGTCTAACAATATTCAGTATTCAGCACATCTGTTTCCTATGACTGACGAAGAAAATTAACACAAATCTGATGGTTTAAAACCAGTCTCTCCACCCTATACTATTTACAAATAGTTAAATAAATGTTAAGCATGAAAAGCATAGAACATGTAAGAAATAACTTACCAGTATAAGTTCATTATTTCTATAATTAAAAATAAAATTGTGCCTGCCTAGAGAGTTCAAACCCCAGTACTGTGGAAAAAACTGCAAAAAGTAATTTTATTTAAAATCATAGTTACTAAATAACAAAATATGCACTGATTCATAGGAACCAAATGGATCTCTCAGAGGTTGAATACGAATACCTCCAGTGGACAGCTGGCCAGTTTGTGGTCTTTGCACCATTTTGGCATGGCTTTACCATGAATAATGAGGGCCATATCACAACATACTGCAACCTCTCTGTATCTTGGTTATGGATGCCAAATGTGTTAACTGATGCTATTCTTCAGAGAATACCACATTATCTGCAATTATCCTATGTTCTTATCTGCATGCAATTATCCTATGTTCTTATCTGCATGCAATTATCCTATGTTCTTATCTGCATGCAATTATCCTATGTTCTTATCTGCATGCAATTATCCTATGTTCTTATCTGCATTCAGTGATTCCTGGCAATATTGTGGAATAAGAGCTCTGCTATGCCTGTGCCTAAATGGTAGATAGAACTAACTCATCTGTCCATTTAAAAAAATTAGGATATATTACTTGTACAAAGGGGTTTCATTATGGTATTTAAATAAAAGAGTGTACCTGGAGCTTTCCTGGTCTCCTACTTCCTCCCTAGCCATGCGATGCCATCTGCCACAAGACCCTCATCAGAGCTGAGCAAATGGTGATGCCATGCTTTTGAACCTCCAGAACTATGTGCTAAATAAACCTCTTTTTCTTTTTAGTGCTAGAGGTTAAACCCTGAGTTTTGCATATGCTATGTAAGTGCTCTGCCACTGAATTATATTACCAGCCTTTCCCCTTTTCTTTCTTTCCTTCTCTTACTTTTTTTTTTTTAATTTGGTGGCACTGGGGTTTGAACTCAGGGCCTCATGCTTGCTATGCTTGATAGGCAGGCATTATATCACTTGAGCCACTTCACCAGCCCCTTCCTTCCTCCCTCCCTTCTCTCTCACTCTTTGGCTGTACTGGGGTTTGAACTCAGGGTCTTGTGCTTGCTTGGTAGGTGCTCTATCACTTGAGCCATTCTACCAGCCTTTTGTTTTATTTATAAAGTACTCAGCCTCAGATTTTTTTTTTAACAGCAATGCAAAATGGACTAAGACAGTACCCATGATCTACTAAATAAAAATTAAGAAGCCCTTCTTGATCTGACTCCTGACCTACTTTCCCAACTTCACTTCCTCTTTTTGGCTACATTTTCCTAAAACATTAAACCAAATATACCATAGTGCTTATTACTCTGTGCCTTTGCCCAGGTTTCTCTTTACCACAAGTACCCTTTCTCCAACTTTTTCTGCCTCATAATGCCTAAAACAAAATCTAGCCATGCTTTTTAACTTCTTTGTGCCTCTACTTCCTCATCTGTAATATGGGGTAAATCCATCTACTCATTTAATTCTCACAACCATCACTGAGGTGGATACTGCAAATTAAACACTTGGAACAGTGCAGGGGGAAGCAGTAAGTGTGGGTAGATCTGATGGGGAAATGGAAGAGTGGCTTTCACAGGATCAACCATCTCTTAGGTCAAAAGTGATGAATCAAGTCCAGGTCTGTGACTCAGACAGCTATTTGCCCTTGCCAAAGCAGTCACATCTTACTACCACACCCTGATGCTTAGTGGGTCGCCAAATGAAACCCAACTTTGCAGAAAAAATTATTTTAGGGATAGAGGAGAATATTAAACTAAGAAATATTTTTTTGATGTTACTGGGTTTGAACTCAGGACTTCATGTTTACTAGGCAGGTGTTCTAACACTTAAGCCAGATCTCCAGGCCTTTTTGCTTTGGTTATTTTGGAGATGGTTTTTTTTTTTTTTTTTTTTGTCTAGGCCGGCCAGGACCATGATCTTTCTACTTTAAGCTTCTCACAGAAGCTGGGTAACAAGCATGCACCACCATGTCCAGGGTTTTTCTGCTGAGATGGGGTCTTGCTAACTTTTTTGCCTGGGCTGGCCTGGAACAACAATCCTCCCAATCTCAGCCTCCTGCTTAGATTGGAGTGCCAGGTGTGGACCCATGCCCAACTATTGGTCAAGGTGGGGTCTTGTGAACTCCCTGCCTGGGCTGGCCTGGAACCGTGATCCTCTTGATCTCAGCCTCCCAAATAGATAGGATTATAGGTGTGAGCCACCAGTGTCTAGTTTAAACTGGGAAATTTTAATTTAAGCAAGATTAATTTATTAAAATTAATCTTTTAATAATTTACAATAATTTAATCTTTTAATAATTATAAACTGTCATTTGGGTAGAGAATGGGGTGCTCTGCTATTTAGAGGAAATGTACTCCACTTCTTGCCCAAGGTTGAGCAAGAAAATCAAACCTGAGAATCTTACTTTGTTTGGGTTCTGGCAATGCTCTTTGCTTAGCTAAATATGTGTTAAAAAAAGAAAAGCTTATATCACGGCTACAAAAATATTGTAATATTGCACGGCTACAAAAATATTGTAATATTGCCTACTAAACGACTACATAGTGGATATTGTATTACATAGTGGATACTGTACTATTTGTTGAATGAATTAAAAAGATGCAAGTGCAACAGAATTACTTTTCTTTTCTTTTTCTTTTTTCTGTTGGTTCTGGGGATCAAACTCAGGGCCCTGTACATGCTAGGCAAGTTCTCCATTATTAAGCCCCAGAATTATACATTTACACAAAATGTATAAAGGTAAACAAATGTACACAAAATGAGGCATATTAGAAAATACTGGGGAATAAGATACTAGGAAGTGTGTCAGAAGCCATGATAAGCTTCATGGGTAAAAATAAAATAAAAAGGCTACTCCTCCCCAATCGGAGGTGCATTTAGTAAGTACTTAGCTAGTGGAAAGGAACAGAAATGATTCTCTTTTTTGTTTTTGGCAGTACTGGGGTTTGAACTCAGGGCTTTGTGCTTGCTAGGCAGGCAATCTATAACTGAGAGCGCAACCCCAGCCTCAGAAATAACTTTCAAAAACAGTTTTGAATTCAGCTGAAAGGTCAAGAAATACACCATTACAGAAGTTCATGGAATGTTAAATTGTGTCAACCTGTAGCCAAGGCAGAGCCAGAGGGACTTAGATAATTGGAAAGATGACAAAACTTGTAAAAACGGTTACTGTTCAGTAGCAGCCTACAGGATGATGATTCTTATGAGAGGAAAAACAAAAGTCAGTGCTCTACAAGTGCCTCAGCATTCTACCCCGTTTCCAGAATTCAGAGTGGAGAAGGGGAACTCAAACAAATCCACAGTTTTCCTGAGTTGAGGAGAAACAGCAGAGAATTTGGGAAGCCAGGGTGGGCTGGAATTTGTGAGGGGCAGGGGGAATACAAATTTACTAATCACGTGTGTGTTGTGTATTGGTCAGTCTTTTATTACTGTGGCAAAATTTCTGAGGCTGGGTAACTTATGAAGAAAAGAGATTAAGACTAGTTCTAGAGGTTCAAGGGCCTAGCGCTAACATGTTTGGGTGAATGGTATCATGATGTTGAGTGTATATGGGAGCGAAAGCACATGGCAAGACAGGAAGCCAGAGTGCAACTGGGGACTCACAGGGGTCCCATGAGGCCTGTGCTGATTGCTTTCAAGGGCACTCCCGAAATGGCCTAAAGACCTCGCACAAGTCGCTACTCCTTAATGGTCCCACTGCCTCTTAGAATTGTGAACCAAGTTCCAACACATGAAACCTTGGAGAACCAACCACATGAGGCAAAGGAAAGAGCCACAAGAAAGGACTTGGTGAAACTATCTCTGAAGCACACAAGGGCTGGGAATGCTTCATGTTCATACAAGCTGGAGGGGAAAAACCTCATAATACATGGGACATTGTATAGGACTCAAAAGTGTCTTGTGCCAGTGTGTGTTTATGTATGTCTCTGTGTCAGTGTGTGTGTCTGTGTGCAAAATCAATTAGAATAAAGGCTATCCTGGTTCCATCTAAGAAAACTTAAAGGTAACCTTCAGATGGATCAAACTCCTTTCAAGGAACCTAACTACTTCTCAGAACAAAGCTCAAGGATATAGCATCAACAAAATACCCTGCACCTGACAACATAAAACTCACAATGCCTGACATCCAATGAGAAATTATGTCACGAGGTCAGGCATGGTGGCTTATGTCTGTAGATCCTAGCTACCCAGAAGGCAGAGATTAGGAGGATCTGGGTTTGAGGTCAGTCCTGGCAAAAAAATTGCAAGACATGATCTCAACCACTGGCTGGTGCTGTGGCTCGTTGCCATCCCAGCTACATGGGAAAGCATAAATAGCAGGACTGCAGTCCAGGCTTGCCTTGGCATAAAGCAAACCCTATCTCAAAATTAACCAGCACAAGAATGGATGGAGGCTTGGCTCAAATGGCACAGTGCCTGCCCAGCAAGTGCAAGTGCAAGGTCCTGAGTTCAAAAAAA